TAAAAAATAAACACGGTCATTTTCAACAATATTTGCACAGATATATGTATATTGTAGCCCATCTTAATTTTTTTTTCTAAAGCTGGGAGTTTTCGCTTAAACGTGCTCGAAACATCACATCACAAGTCATAATTGAATAAAAAAAATTTATGTAATTTTCAATTCCAACATATTTGAGTTTTACAATTTTTAAACAGATTTCGATTAAACTGTTACAACATGTATTAATTTATTTTCTTTTAAATTTTCGTAAAATATTTAATTGTAAAAAAAATATGTGCCAAATCTTAAACTACGAAAAAAGAAAAAAAAAACTGTTAGGAACAATTGTACGAGGATTTAAAATAGACAATTAAGGCTAACCGGTATTAACTCTACTGCGCAGTGTTGGAAGGGATTCGAGCCCGATACCGTTTTTTAGGATAAATGAACTACTATTTCCTTTGGACGCGCCATTCCTTTTATGTTTATTACTTTTTGATAATTTTATGGTCATGAGCTTTATTTTTTTTTAGCAGTGATACACTGAGGAGAATAGTTAAGAGTGAAACAATTTTATTTATTTATTTTTACTATTTAAGGAGGCTCAGTGGTGTACTAAGGGGGCAATGGCCCCAGGCATCCAGATACAGGTGGACATCTAATCGATGAAAATGGACGCCAAAACTGTAAATTTATCACTAAGGCCCGGATTTTAATGACATTTGCATTTTTGGACATGCAAATGTCCTTTTGAGCATTTTTTCAGATTTATANCTGAAAAAGCTAAAAATTCACCACTTGAAAAAAAATTTAAGTGCTATTAAATTAGCTGAGGCAAAAATATATTACGTGGCTCAAAAGTTTGAATTATTTATTATAGTTTTCTCTTAATACAAACCTGAATACCGCGTTATCTTATGCTTCGCTAACCCGTCAGAGGATGACGTCACAAATCTACTGAGAGGCCTTCACTCTCGGTGGCTATGGTTTGTGACCACTTGGATAAGTCTACGAAGCGACCGAGGGTGTGCGGTATTGATCCTCGTTAAACTGTTCTACCGTAAAGTGCTCGACTTCGCGCTTAGGTCGTCGGGCTACCGAAGCGGGGGTGCCGTCTCCTCTGCAAAGGATCAAAATTGTGATGGCATGTCTTCGGATCATCCTCAGGGATGTTATTCAGACAGTCGCCAATAGCCCATTGTGTAGCTCTAGTGCGACGTAAATACACTACAACTTTACAATTCATTCAAACGCACTGCATTTCGGCGTACCGTCGGTCTCTAGCGTACGAAAGCGCCAATCATTTTACATGTTTGATGAAATATTTGCAGGTCCTTGTGTGCATACGGAGCTGGATTCGGTGGATTCTTGCACTGTCATGTGTAACATTTTGCAAGATATTCTCTATTTCAGGCTTCATTTTCCACCCTCTGAAGTCGAATCGAAAAATCTCTCGATATTTTTATGATGGCTAATATAAACAAGAAAAGAGTTCTTTGTCAGAAACTAGTTATTTTATCATGATCATGTAAAGTCTTTGTAAATTATTTTGTTATTGCTTCAAAAGTACTTAAAAGGTGCTTATTTTTTGTTGAAGGATTTGGCTATACAGAGTGAATAATTGTCTGTGTTGTTGTTTACTATGATCTCCTAATAAAATTAGGTGTCATTTGTAGGTTTGAGAGTATTTGTTGGTTCATGCAATATGTCTGCATAATGCTTTATATTTGTAGAGAAAATGGGTAGAATTCGAATAATTCTGTATATTCATATTAGTGATCTAGATGCAGTGAAGTGATCCATTATTACAATGCAAAATCAAGACAGAAATTTAAGATGGGCGATGTATGTACAGGGAGGTTTTTAGTACCTGAGGATAAATTCAGTTTTCGCAATAGGTTCTATTTAAAAAATACCGAGTTATTTTTACGTGAATGTAATTAGGTGATTATTTAAGCGTTTCTTGTTAGTATTAAATTAATATTTCTCATTTACAGTGTTTTTTTCTTCCAAAGTATAACAAAAGTTTAAAATTGATATTAGAAAAAGATCATATAAGGAGCTTAATGCTTATTAAAATTGCTGATTTCTGACAAATTTTCGCAATTTTTTATTTTATCCATGCGTTACGAGTCATTATGGTCCTTTCCATTATATATCCTTTTTATGCAGTTTTTTCCACTCTGAAAATAGCTTGCTATCCTTGGTTTTCATGAAGTCATAAGAAGTACTACTTAAAATATGAAGTATTATCAAGAATTTGTTTTTTACATAAAACTTTTGGGTTTTTCAGGGTTGCCACCCTCCTGGAATTATCAGGAAATTTTGAAGAAAACCTGGAAATTTTTTCTTCGATTTTTTTAAAATTTTACTAATTTGAATAATTTACTAATTTTCTTAATCCCTATCAGCCAATAAATTATTTTACGATCCATACTACCCACTTTTTATAGACGGAAATGCTTCGCCAAATAGTTGAAATACCATTAACTTAGCACGGTTCCCAGCAGATCACCGAAGTCAAGCATCACTGGCAGCGGTCAGTGTGCGGATGGGTGACCACTTGGATCAGTCTGCGCAGGGACCGAGGGTGTGCGGTATTGGTCCTCGTTGAACTGTTCTACAGTAAAGTGCTCGACTTCGCTTGCAGGTCGTCGGGCTACCGAAGCGGGGGTGCCATCCCCACTGCGGAGGATCGAAATTGTGATGGCATGTCTATAATAATCGCTGCTTATCATTTTCAATTAGATTAATTAAGAAATGAGTGTGCCATTACCTGGTTTTCCATACAATGATGTTTTTTTAAGGCTATGTGACATCTACACTGATGTTTGTTAAAGGTTAAGTGGAACTGCCTTACTCTACACTGTTTTTTTAATGTTAAGTATGATTTTTTAAATACCAATTTACGCTTTAAAAACATTTTTAGCAGTGATACAATATTGGCTGATAGGGATTGCAACTCATTTGTCGTTAAGCTTTGGTACTCAGACCAGAGATGTGTTTCTTGCTTCCTCGTCATGAATTTCGATTGTTTGCCATGCCGAAACTTGCAAATCAACCTAAAAGTTTGAAAACAGTATTCTTATCAAATCTAGCAAACAAATACTTGATATTCTCTATGAAAAAAAGAAATTCAAACCATGACTATGAAGAGCTTCAATTCTTTTTGAGCATGCCTCTAATATTGATGGTAACTTTTCCCCATATGCGAATTCGCCTGGTCGTTTACTAAATGACTGATGATACTTGAAGTTTTGAAGAGAAAATATCAAAAAGTAGCAATGATGATGTTTTGAAAAAAAAAATTCTTATTTTCTGTCAATATTACCTATGATTCATCAAAATTTGACAGAAAAAAGTTTTTTTTTATATATTTAACAAATAAGAACACATAATTAAAAACATTACAATAGACAAACTTGATTTTATTACAAAGAAAAAAAATCATGTAAGAAATGGAAACAATTTTAACATTCCATTGTAAAAAATAAACACGGTCATTTTCAACAATATTTGCACAGATATATGTATATTGTAGTCCATCTTAATTTTTTTTTTCTTTCTAAAGCTGGGAATTTTCGCTTAAACGTACTCGAAACATCACATGCTGGAAAAGTCATAATTGAATCAAAAGATTTTATGTAATTTTCAATTCCAACATATTTGAGAAACATATTTAGATTAAACTGTTACAACATGTATTAATTTATTTTCTTTTAAATATTTTCATAAAATATTTAATTGAAAAAAAATTATGTACCAAATCTTAAACTACGAAAAAAGATAAAAACTGTTAGGAACAACTGTAAGAGGAGGTAAAATAGACAATTAAGGCTAATCGGTAGTTACTCTACTGCGCATGGTTGGAAGGGATTCGAGCTTGATACCGTTTTTTAGGAGAAATGAACCACTATTTCCTTAGGACGAACCATTCCTTTTATGTTTATCACTTTTTGATAATTTTATGAACATGAGGTTTATTTATTTTTGAGGGGGGGGGGAGGAGTGGATTTTGAACTTTAATCTACTATATAGAAAACTACATATTAACTGTCTTGTATTGTATCTTTGAATTTTCAGTGCAACCTCTTGCCTTTTAAACGAGCTCATTTAAATATTGACATGTCTTAGTTGAAATTGCTATTACATATTTTCATTATGTGGGGGAGGAGAATAGTTAAGAGCGAAACAATTTTATTTATTTATTTTTACTATTTAAGGAGGCTCAGTGGTGTACTAAGGGGGCAATGGCCCCAGGCATCCAGGAAAAGGTGGACCTCTATTTGATGAGTACGGACACCGAAACTGTAAATTTATCACTATTATTTTGACTATAAAATCAAATAACCAGGTAAATATTTGACTGAAGGAAAATATTTTACAGAGAATATATTGTGATTTTTAAACGAACTTAATTAGGAAGTTTTAGGATTGTTAAATAGTGATACTACTGATAAAATTTATATATTCTTTATTTTTAAGAAAGAGGAAACTATGATTATTATTTTGCTAGAAATAAATTTTTACCATGCGCATTGATTTGAGCTGACCTTTACTAAAATACAGGTTTAGATTTTACTAAGCTATTTATTTATTTTTTAATCTCAGGATGGTGAAAACTCCGAAATTAGATCAATCTGAAGAAGAAAAAAATCAGGAAAATTTTATTTTTTGACAGAAAATTTAATAAAATACCCACAGAAAGTCTGGAAAAATGAATTTGAGTTCGAAGTATGCGAAAGAAGTAAATTTTTTTTCTACTTCAAAAAAAAAAGTCTTGTAATGATTTTTCTTTAAAAAATTATTTTTTATTCAACTCTAATAGCTATTATACTCTTGCAAGTTAAGAAAAGACCATTGTGGCTTAGAATTTAAGTAATCATCTGCGACTGCAAATAGTTCCGTTTTATTTTATTACGGAACTAAGCAAATATACTTTCAAAACATTATAAAAGCTTTTAAAAGTTATACACGCAACAGATAATTCTAATTCGTGCTATCTTTTACGATACATATCATAGAATTATTTTTAAAAAGAAGTTAGTGTATTAGTTTCGTAGTTTTTCTGGAATCCTTGACTTGGCGACATATTTCGATAAATAAGAACATTCGTTCTTGGAAAGAAACAACTATATGAAGTTGCAAGATCATTGGATTTGATTGGACCACCAAAAATGTCACGTCTTATGCTAGCATACTCTTAACAAATCAAATGCGAGATAAAATGCTTTTACTTTTTTGCTGTTTGGTATACATTTGGCGAGCAGTTAGATGCAAACAGTCTCTCTTAATAAGGATAATGGTTTCTTCTTAACTTGCAACAAAGTGTAATGAATATATGAATTTTATGCATGTGATTTAGGCATAACAGAAAAATTAATAATAAAATTTATGCTATTGTTTACAAAAATCAGAGAAATTCGATAAAATCAACCTCGAAAAGTTAGTCAGTGAATTTTTTTCTGAGTGTTTGAGTTTCCCTGGATATTTTTTTTTCTTTTTATACAATAGCGATAAAGTATTCTAGTGATTGATACTCTTCATTACAAGAGCATTTATTCAAGAAGTTTCCCTCGGTCACCATCACCCATCTGCACCCCTCTATTCTGTCCCTGTTTTTAATGTTCATGTTGCAGAACTTTCAGCTTATCTGCAGAAATTTAATGGTTAAAGTTATCCTCCTTTCAGTATATCAATTATTAATTATCGAAAAGTGATAAACTAAGGGAGAGGGGCTTCCTCCCCCCAAAAGATGAGAGACTGGAGTTAATAATAAGAGTCATATTCGGATTCAGGGGTTAATTTTAAATGAGAATCATCAGGAATGATGCAACTGATTTTCATAAAGAACATTAAAACTAAGGGTCCTGAAACGCTTACTTTCATTATTGTGGATAAATTATTGTTTTTATGGCATTTCATTTAAAAAAAAATTCCCATCCTCCACTTAGTAATCAGCACAACTTTTCAGGTTCTTTGTTCCATTCAAAGAACCTGAAAGTGACACTAGCCTTCAAAATACATAATCATATTTAGGTACAAAAACTGTAGACAGTCTGAATTCATTCCAATGAATGTTCTATTGCAGCAGGACGGATGGTGGCCTCACAGGTTTGATAACTGCAGGTTGAAACTCTGTTTTGATTTCAGAGCTCCAGGCCTTAGGCGAGGCATTGAAGTTTTGGAAATTGAAAGTCCTTGATGGTGAATGCTCCAGAGCGTAAGCCTCTGGAACGGATACATTAGAGGTCTTCGGAGATTTATCCGGCACAGGAGATGAATACGACTGATTGGCTGATGGGGAGGCTAAATTTAAAAACATAACAAATGATAAAATTAATTATAATAACCACTATAAAATGATGTTTCTGAACATTTGGGGAGGATATTTCTGTATCGGCACCTGTTCACACCAACTACCTTCACAGATGGCTCCAAAGAGTTTTACAACTTTCAAATATTTAAAAATTAAAAAGCTTAGTGGTTTGTCCAGGCCCGGCCCTTCGAGTTATTCCCTTTCTATCTTTTGAAAATTTAATCTTTTTTTGCATGCAATTATCCGGTTGTTGCCAAAATTCGGCGCAGGTACCGATACGGAAATCTTCCCTACTTTTGATCGTAAAAAACATAACAAACGAAAATGAATATAGGGAGCAATATTACTAAGATGAACTTATTACATTTCAGTGACGATGCTTACTTTTTGAGGTTTTAGCCCAGACTTAAAATTCAAGCTTACCCAAGCTAGAGATTCATATGACTTAATGTCTGCTCGAGTCTATCAGAGTTCAAAATTTAATGTGAGAGATAAGGAACGAAATTCGCAAATATATAAAACCAAAACTTGGAAAGAGAAGTGCCAAATAAAATATACTATTGAGATTACTAAATTAATCATAAAATACTTCTTTACTTTATACACTTCACAATTTTTCGCATTTTTTATGCAATAACTAAGCCAACCGGATTTTTGTATATATATATTTCGTTAGAAAGAAAGTTAGTTAAATTAAAATAATATGGAAGCTTTATCAAGAGTCCGAGCACTTAGATGGTAATGTTCAGAAAATGAGATAATGTCTCATGAACTTGACCCAAGTTCGAGAAGTTGAATATTCTGAATTTGTTAAATAGTTCTCCTCTGAGCCGCGATAGCTCAGGGGATAGAGCGTTCGCCTTCCAATGGGGTGAACATGGGTTCGATCCCGGCGATGGCTGGTCAATACGAATTCCACACCCGGCTTGCCCCGACCACAGTGCTTACGTGAAGTGTCCTCAGTAGTAGACGGATCATGTGTTAGAGTCCCCTTGCCATCCGGCTAACCGTGGGAGGTTCTCGTGGTCTTCCTCTCCATGTAACGCAAATACGAGTTAGTTCCATCAAAAAGTCCTCCACGAAGGCAAATTTCTCCCAATACTTGATCCAGTGGCTCCCTTATCTTCTGGATTGGGTTCAAAATTACAAGGCTACGGAGTTGAACATTAGTAGTCGTAAACCCAAAAATTGGGTCGATTGTTCAACGACTGTTATAAAATAAAATAGTTCTCCTCTGAAGTAGGTGTTAAAACTTCATGGTTCGAAGGGTTGATCTTTAATATGCTAATTAAGACACGTTATTTTTAAACACCCATTTTGAGGAATTCGAATATTTTTCAAAATATGCGTGAAAGAGAAGAAACAAGAGAGATTTGAAGTAGTACTTACAAGTAGTGCTTGTCCATCCCTTAGGATAACTGTATTTATAAGCATCAGTAGACCAGACAGAAGTTCTTGAAAAACATGATGATTGTAGGGGTGTATGAAGTACGGGAGTTTCGTTTTCGTTCATCCTGTCCAAAGATGAGATGACGGGAAGGTGAGGTACGGCATTGGGATAGGTCATCACCTTAGCTTCTGCTGCTCGAATTATCGTGTCTTTCACAACTTGGGAATTGACCTCCGAAAGAGCCCTAACCCTAGGATGAACCAATGGTTCCTGACTTAAATCTGGATAATCTATCGGTGAAGGGTACTCGATTTGATATCGTTCTTGAAGCAAATGTTTCACCTGTTTAAAGAGAAATATTAATAAATAAAATAAGAATTTTATATATTATGTAAATGTTTCAATCGTTGAGAAAGAAAATATATAAATAAAATAAAAATTTTAAAAAATACGCAATTGTTTCAAAGATTAAGAGAGAGAGAAAAATAAATAAAATACGAATTTTAAAAATGACGCAAATACTTGCACTGTTAAGTGAGAAAATAAATAAATAAAATAAAAATAGTAAAAACTACGGAACTCTTTCTCCAGCTGAGAGAAATTTTTTTTGTTGAAAGCTACGCAAATGTTTAACCTGTTGAAGGAGAGAAAAAGAAAGAAAAAAAGAATTTTAAAAACTACGCAAATGTTTTACCAGTTGAAAGGAGAAAAACATAGATAAATTTTTTTAAAAATACGTTTTTCAAGTGATTTAAGAAGTAAGGCTACTCTATAATAAAAGCTGAACTGTCGGAGATTATGGAGCAAGCAAGTTCTCTAGTTACGTAGTATTGACATTAGCGCGAAAGCTTGAAGCCCATTTAGATACTTAAAATTATTGATATGGGCAATTAGGGAGCGATGGATTGGACAAACAGTTAAAAGAAAAAAGCTTTTTAATGTTAATATTTCCATCAGATCACAAAAGAAAGATGAAATAGGTAATAACTTGCGGAAGATATGACTTTCAGCTAGGAAGTGAAGTTCGCTTAAGTGAGGTATATACTCATTATTTATAATTAGTTGAATTAATTTACTTATGCATGCAGCGTATAAACGACCTTAAGTTTATAGAATTCGCTTCTGGATGCTTGTTTTTGTCTGTTTCTTCAAAAAGAAATAGGTGAATAATTTTTCGGGATTACTTGAATTTTTCAGTTCTAACTATTAATCAAATATAAGAATTTTCATTGAAAATTGCATTTATTAAGAAAAAATTTATTTTAAATATGATCTTTAAGCAGCATTTAATAATTTATTTAATAACTTATTAAACAATTTTGAGTGTTTGTGTGGTATAAAACCAAGTAAATAAAGGCAAGAGATTGGCTGAATAAGTATTCGCCAAACTTATCTCCGAATCGCTAAGTCTTGTATTCACTTTTAAGTATTTCCTTTTGTTTTGTGAAAAATAAATATAAACCTGTCTCCAATTGTATATCAGTTTGATTTACCAATATGTCAGATAGTTAGCTTTTTAATCCTGGCTCATTTAATTTTTTCGTATTAAATAACTACGAAAAAATTAAATGAACCAGGATTAAAAAGCTATGGTAACATAAAGGTTAAAGCTCAAACGGTTTTTTTTACATTTATAATAAGAAATCTATTTAATATGCAATCTTTCATACGTTTTTGGATCCATAAATGTTTTTTTCTTCTTTAAAACTCTAGTATTAAATTGTTGAAATAATTAGTTTCTGTTGCAGAAAGTTTGATGGGAGTATGTTTAAAAAATTTTAAACTATGAATGATTGTGATTAAATTTAAGTATGAAAATATGAAAAAAGTATTTCAAATTTACTTGCAGGTACATTGCCAAGAATCTCAATTTAAAGCAAATAGGAAAGATGGTAACAAAAAATTAGGGCATGAAGCTATTACAAGTCCCTTAAAACTTTCCCCAAAAAACTGAAATGGATAACTTGTCTAAAACCAGGATCAATTCTAGATGAGCTTAAATCTGATCTAAATATAAATTTACAGATTCTTCTCCATTTGCTTGGTTTTTTCTAATTTTAAAATTATTAAAGAACCAAAAATGTGTATAAACTGTTTCAAACTAGTAATGAATAATATTTTTGTTTTAAATAGCAATAATAATAAATTTTGTAATGAATTTGTTCAAGTATTAAAAGAAAAGTTTCCGAAAAACAATGCAAATCGATGCACGTAAACACGCTTTTCTTTACGCATTATTCTAGTTGAGGTTAACGTCATTTATAGCGATAAGTTGCCAAATCTTGTAGCACATTCGCATGGGTGAAAGTTTTTTGCTCCAAAATGGCGGACGAGTCAGCACTCTAATTCAGGAACTCTATTAAAAATGAACAAAATGATTACATTTTCGTCAAACCTAAAACAGAAAACGCACTGCGCATTATTTTAGACAGAAGTGTGAGACGGTGGTGAAGTTTACTATGAAGGTGATGCACTCGATTTTCGTCAAAGGTGTAACAAAAATGGAATTGTTTTTTCCTTTTTAATTCGCTTGAAAAACGTAGTTTTTACATTTTATTTTACTACATTCTTTATTTAATTTTGTGTTTGTTACTGTCTTTATGCCGGAAAATTGTTGATACTTCTATTGCCGATAAAAAGGAGATTAAATTTTGCCTGCAACATTCTGGAAATAATTGTAACCTGTATTATCATTCGCAGAGCTTCAGTTGAAAATTGAGTACTCTAGCTAGTCGAAATTCGAAATAACGATAAGATGTTTCTGGAGATCGTTTCTGTTTGCAGTGGTCAGTAAAGGATTTAAACTAGCAATTTTATCCAACACAGAACACAAATTAAAATTTGAGTATTCTAGCTATTTGGAAAGTAGTCAGAAATTTAATGTGCTATGTTTGTTTTGCACTCAATTATTAAGTTCGTTTTTATAATATATTTCCACGTAAAAAATATTTAAAAATGATATATTGTTTTGATTTAATAGTCGGAAAAATTTGAATTGTGTTAATTAGTACTAATTATCTAACATACTTCAGTTCACCTCTTAAATCATTTATAGATTAAAACTTTTTGTTCGTACGTGAAAATCCGATCATGGGAACAGCAGTTACTGAAGGCAAAATTCCATCGTTGTGTAAATAATATTCGTGTCTGATCTGCGACGAGTTTTCTACGAAGGTTATTACGTCCTCGTTTTGTTTTAGTTGTGACAAAAATGAAATTATTTTTTAATTTTTAGTTTAGTTTTGTGTTTATGCCGGAAAATCGTTGATACTTCGATTGGCGATTAAAAGGAGATAAATTTTGCTTCCTACATTTCGGAAATAATCGTAACCTATCGGCTTTAGACATAGAGCTCCAGTTGAAAATTGAGCACTCTAGCTGGTCAAAAATCTGTCGAAATTTCGAATGATGATAAGTTGTATTTCGAGTTTAGTTCTGCTCGTAGTTCTCTGTAAGCGATTGAAACTAGTAGCGGAAAGAAGTCAGAAATTTGATTGACAATATGCTATTTTTTTTTTTATTATTATTTTTTTTGACGGAAATATAGCGTATTTTGTCACCTTGCGAGACCTTTTTTTAGTGAATCGGAAACTTTTCATCGGAAGTCCTTTTTCACTTTCATGGAACTTTCAATGGGAATTTATTTCTCTCAATTTATTACTATAACATATTTTAATTATCATAATATATGTTCCTTTATTATAATATATTTTCAAGTAAAAATTAATATTTAATAATTATTTAATATTTTTTTAAATTTTATATAATAATTATCTGAAAAATTTGAATACTCATAAGCCAAAAATAAATTAATAAAGAAGAAAGTATATTTATTCAGAAAAAGTACGTCTTTGTGTTTGATTTCGTAATTTAATAGTTAACACTATTTATCTAACATATTTGAGTTCTCTTCTTAAATCATTTATCGATTATAATTTTTTCTTAGTAGGTGAAAATCCGATCATTGGATTCGAGGTGTAATATTTCTCCTCGATTCACTGTACATGTTATACGGTTCACTGTACACATGTTCACTGTACAAATAATATTCCAACATTTGATTTTGGAGTTTGTTTGTTCGTCCATAGAAAGTATGTGTATATATTTAATAATTATTTATTATTTTCTTAAAATTTTATTAAATTTTAATAAATTTTATTAAAATTTTTGCATTTATTAACTTTATACATTGCCTCTTGTTGTTGCTACTGAGGAAACAATAACTATGATTGCGATACTTGTAAACAAAAATTTCCAATATTTCACTGAAAATAGTCTCTAATAAACATTTTCCAATTAAAAACAAAAAGCTAAACTTAGATAAAATATCTCTTGTATTTTATGCAAATAAAACTTACTGTATAAAAACTAATAAGTAGCTAAAAACGTATTTTCTGCTTTGAAATTGGAAATGGCAATAACCGCTCTGATTAGACATTAAATACTGTTTATTTTTAAAATAAATTTGACAAAACATTAATTGGCTGCTTTGTGCATGTTATTCAATCAAAATATCAGGCATAGAGAAAAAAAATTCTTTACGAAAATTAACCCTCAGGCCTTATCCTTAAGAAGGAATTAAAGATTTTTCTCTATTCATATTGTTCATAAAAATATGAAAATTAATTATTTCATTTAATTAAAATTGTTTAATTATATTCATTCTTTGCAAAAAAATTATAGAAATCTAGAAATGAAAAATAGTTTCTGTCAATTAATCGATGTTAAATTTGATTAAAACTGTTCTTAAGAATATTTCAGAGATTTATCAAAACATTTTTTAGTTTAAAAATAAATTTACTTCCTGTCTTGTGGTTAAAAATAGATTTCTTCATATTAGTTATATTAAGCTGTGTTAAAGATTAAAAAAGGTAAACCATTTTCTTATAAAGAAAATAAATTTGAACAAGTGTTAAATATGTTTTAGGCATTTAAGTCTAGACTAAAAGTTACTATAAAAAAATTATCACATTTAATTCCTTAAGGTGCATCAAAATTATTTTTCGATGTTAATTTTTGTTGCGTAAGTTAAAAACGCAAATAATTTTAATGTGTATTACAAAATTACAATGTACAAAATCTGAAAATTATTAAAAGACTGTAGCCTACTTAATCATTGATAATTGTAGACTAAAAATTATGTCATGTGATCAACGTCAGTTGTAAAATAAAATAATTATGTTCTTTAAGTGCCCGTATCTAAAGATGTTGAGCTTAAATGAAAATAACTATAATTTCATTTATTTAGTGACTAGTTTATAATAATTTCGTGATAAAATTAATCATTTTAGTTAGACATATATTTAGGGTGCCCTTCGAACAGAAAAATGTTTTGATTAAATTTCATTTTACTTTTTTCATTGACTTGTGTTTTATTGAATTTAGTTACCGAATTTTAAACTAAATGGCTGTAAGCTTTTAAAACTTTTTTCAAAGCTTAAAGTGTTTCAAAGTTAAAATTTTTTCAAAATTGAAGTTTTTAAGCTACTTGCGACCTTAAAATTTGGTAAATAAGTTGAATAAAACGCATTTCTAGGAATAAAATGAAACAAAAATTTTTTAAAAATATTAATTAGTTAGTGAACCGAATTTTAAATATTATGACTGTAAGTATTTTAAACCTTTTTTTCTAAATTTTAAAGTGTTTCTAAGTTATTCAAAACTCAAGTTTTAAAAATACTTACAACCTGAAAACTTAAGATTTGGTGACTAAGTTGAATAAACTACATTTCAATGAATAAAATCGAACTAAAATTTTTCAAAAATATTAATTAGTGAATTAAATGAGAAAATTTCGAACATTCGTAACTTAGAGGAAATATTTTTTTTTTTTACTGTCTAACTCTAAAGGGTACTCTTAAGTATAATTTTAGCAGTGTGATTGTTACCGTTAAAGTGTATAATTCAGTTATTTCATAGAATAACTAGGTATTTCATGAAATAACTAGACAAGTCAGTTAAAGTATATAATAGATGAAAATTTTCATACATTACCCAGTTATTCTATGAAATAACTAATGATAGACCGTTAAAGTGAAAAATAAACAATTTAGAAGTTATTTAATAAATTAATTGATCAAAAATAGCTAAACTCTCGCGAAAAATATATTTTGTCACTATTGCGGATGATTATTTGATAAATAATAAGGATATAATTTATCATTGCTCATATTAGCAACTACTTCTGAAAGCAACGGAATAAAGCGTATGTACGCACACACGTCATCGCAGTGTAGCTATAAGCTGTTCGAAGCTGACTAAAAGGAGCTAAAACTGGTTCAAAGAACTTTCGAGTGCCGTATTTCATGCTTTAACTATCAAGTAATCGGTATTCTATAGAATACTTAATTAAATCGTAGAATTAAATAATTTTATATCCTTTAACTGAATTGTCTAGTTTTTTAGTGAAATACCTAGTTGTTCTTGACGGTAATATTATCAAATAAAATTATAATTTCTAAATGTATTTTATCTGATCTTACACTGGTAAATGTCAGATAAACAATCTGATTAAAATTATAAAGTTACTTTGTGAATTTATTTCTAGCAAGCAAAGGTTTTTTTGTTAAACCAGTGTGTATAAAATCATCCGAAGTAAAGTGACTGATGCACGTTAAATCTGTCGAGTTGTAAAAGTCCTCCATGTTTCCATAACAAATCATTACCTCTGGGGATACTGGATTGGATATCGATTGTTCTCTGATACAGGTCAAAATTACGATCTGTGGATGAATGAATGGATGTATGAATGGGTCCGCCCTATAAACGGGTGTGACGTATGGTGCGGCAGAATTCGAATTCTTGGCCATAGATGGCGCCACTGAAAAGCAAGAAACGCACATTCTGCCTTAAATTTGCTCGGTTTCACCAAGCAGGCGTGACCGTGTAGCAAGTGGCATTAGAAACGACAACAACAACATAAAATCGTCAAATTTTCGTTACCTTGTCTTCATCGACGATCCATTCGACGCTCTTCTTTTTTCTTTTGGCGAATAGCTGTGCACCTTTGCCTGTTGGCGAGTTCAGATCTTTCACAATATCGTGGCAAACATCGGGACTCACAGCATTGTGCTGCACAATATCGACTCCTTCTTCGATCAGTTTTTTCATGTCTATAATTTGGCGAGGATCTAGAATAAGTTTCAATTTAGGAAGTCCTTTACTTGGCCTCACGTAAGGTATCTTGGAAGGATCCTTGCTGGAATCCAAGGATTCTTTTTCATTCTTTGCATTTGCTGGAACAAAATTTGTGTTAAAATGTAAATATCATTTTCAAAGTTGAATTCATTGGTAACAGAAGTTAAATATCAGGGGAAAACTGCAATCAAATTCGGTGAAAATTACAGTTAATATATTGCTTAAAATATTTTTTAACTTTTCATGTCAAATTAGTGAAAAGAAAAAAGCATTGACGAGTGAATTCGTACTGATGTTGAGTTTCTGTTAATTATTTTAGTTCCAAATAGCTCATAGATGTCGAGAATGATACATTATGTTCGATCTGCCAATAAGATATCTATTCTTGCCAATTGACTTATACTTGTCAATAGATACTCATACCTAAACTTAAGATATCTATAAATAAAAGTTACCTATACTAAACAGAACATTTAAAGTAAAATTACATTTTTCTTATTAAATATTTTATTTTTATTATTATTTAAATTAATAAAAAATTTGATGATTAACACCTTTATTATTTATAGCCATTATTGTTAGACTTATGTACAAGTTGCCTACACTTAACAGAACATCAAAAGTAAAATTACATTTTCTTTTTAATATTTTCTTTTTATTATTTTATTTTTATTATTATTTAAATCAATAAAAAATTTGATGATTAGCACCTTTATTATTTACAGCCATTATTGTTAGACTTATTTACAAGTTACCTATATTTAAAAGAACATTAAAAGTAAAATTACATTTTTCTTTCTAATATTTTATTTTTATTGTTATTTAAACCAATAGAAAATTTGAAGATTTGAACCTTTATTATTTATAGCCTTTATTGTTAGACTTATTTACAAATTGTAGTAGCATTTTCATTATTATTATTTACATAACGCTCATTTGAAATTCTCTTAAGGGTTACCTACCGACAGAAAAAGGTTTTTATTTCCTCTGTGCTAAACTAGGAAGAATTAAATACCCGGAACTTATTTATTCAGTAAATAATTAAAATTTTTAAATAACGTTTGTTTCATTTTATTTATTGAAATGTATTCTATTGAAATGTATACTATAGTATATATTCCTGGCGCCACAAACTTAACAAATTTAAAATTTCAATGCTGTAAGCATTTTTAAAATTAAACTTTGAAAAAGTTCTGAAAATATTTACAACTATAAACTTCGTTGATTATAATCAATAGAACATCAATGGAAGGAATAAAATGAAACAAAAATTTTTCGAAAATTTTATTTAGTTACTTACTAAATATAAGGAAATTCCGGATGTACAGTTTTCCATAGGTTAACATAAAGGAATTCTTTTTCTGCCTCAAAAGGGGGGAGGGGAGGGATTACTACTAACACGTACTGTCTTTTCATAATTTTGCAAGCCTGAGTTTATTTTTTTATATTTTATATTATAACCGTCATTGAACAGCCGACCCAAATTTTGAGTTTACGACTACTAATGTTCAACTCCGTAACCTTGTAATTTTTTTAACCCTATCCAGAAGACAAAGGAACTCCTGGATCAAGTACTGGAAGAAATTTGCCTTCGTGGAGGTCTTCTTGATGGAACCAGCCCGCATTTGCATTACATGGAGAGGAAGACCACGAGAACCTCCCACGGTTAACTTAAATTATTTTTCTCTATTTTTTCTCCGTTGAAGCACTGAGAGTGACATTATTCTAATATTATAGTAATTATTCTTATCCTCACAAGTCAATGATTTACTACCTACGGGAACATTGTAGGTATAGAATTTGTAGAATTTTTTTCTTCTTCCTATTTACAAGTATGCTACCAGAAGTTTCTTAGACTGCATAAAAAAGGTTACATGTAAAAAAAAACTGGATTTTCCCAGGTTTTTCATGTAGGAAACTTTGGTCGCAAAATGCGGATTCGTTTTTAGCACCCCAAAAAAATATAAAGTATGCAAAAATAGATAAATAAAAACTTTCGCCTATTTTCTCAGTTAACGTCCATTTTCGAGCTATTCTGTTCGGACTTATTAGACACATTAGAAATCTTTATTCTCCATAAGCATGTTAGTTTTATTCTTCTATTACGGACGATTGTCACCATAACTGTTAAGATTATAGAATTCTACCCATAAAGAGGAAGGACTACTGCTGGGGCTTTTTCGTTCTTATTTGGAAAAAGAGCTAACAAGTCCTCGAGCTAACAAGTGCTGTTGACAGAATCTAAGAACAGCCCTTCATTCTTTTCCTTTGTTCCTTATCGTATGTAAAGAAAAAAAGAAGTGGAAGCTCTTATCATTGAGTAATGACACTCTACAAGTGGAATCCTCACAGGCTTTCTTTAGCTATTTCTATGTGGATTGAGAGATACATTTCTACTTTTAAGGATAAAAATGCGAAATCTCACTTTCCTTTTTTTCTTTCTTAAGATGATCTTGAAATATTGTGATGCTCCTCCATGAGGTGTTAGAAATGGTTCTTGTGCAAGATGTTAAAAGTGTATAAACAAAGCATATGATTCGAGGCTTATTTTATGATAAAAGCGTATTTAAAGTTAAACGATTATTTTTCATTTATATATTTATTAACGTATTATATCTAAGTACTCGTTTATTTCGGGAGAATAAAAAATAAATTATCAGTAAATCGGCATTAATTAAGACTGCGCAGTTATGCACACAATACCGACACAATTAAAAAGTTTTTAAAAAAAATCCTTTTTTTTTAAATTATTTGCTGCCTTTCCTGGTGAACTTACGTTATTAATTGAGCAAAACACGTTTTTATACGTTCGAATCATCAAAAAAAAAAAGTTTAACTATACTTAGTTTTATTCGCTACCAAAATGATGCTAGTGATTTTGTTTGACTCATAATTGTCAGAATTTAATACAATTTTACCAAAAAATTAATATTTTAGAACATAACTTTTTTTAAATATATATACCGTTGGTTTACCGTTTTTAGACCATCGATTTTACATTATTTAGGTTTTATTTTACACCCTGAGTTGAGCAGTCGACCCATTTCTGGGTACTGGACTATCACGTTCAACTCTGTATCCTTTCAACTTTGAACCCAACCCAGGTGACAAAAGTGAATTTCAGGATCAACCATTAGGACAAAACTAGTCTTTGGAAAGATGAATTAATGATGGAACTAACATGAAGAGTTACAACTGAAAAAACCTCTCACAGTCAGCCCGACGGCAAGAGGATTCGAATCCACGATCACTGAGGTTATTTTACGCCACCACTTATTCCAACTCTGGGATTCAAACCTCGGTCATCTCACTGAGAGGTGAGGGCTCAATGCCTTGAGCTACCGCGGACCACTTTTTTTTTTGACTCATAGAAAGAACCAAAAGCCTAACTGTAAAGAAAATAAACACGTTGTTTCAGATAGTTTTCAAAGTACTAATTCGGAGATGTAGCTTGATTTTGCCTGAGCTTACATGTCATAAAAATGAAGGAAAATAACTATTATAGAATTGGGCAATCACCTTTCTGCAAAATTCGTTTTTGATTAAATAAAGCTGTAAGCCAGTACACATTACCTTTTAAATAATTAATGGTACTGGAATTTATGCAAAAGCATAAACTTTTTATATTATTATTATAGATATAGATTATTTATAAGGATTTTTGAACATTTTCAAATATGAATGATCCTTTCATACATTTATTTCTTACGGCAATGCATTTCTCGAGGTGTCTCTAATGTGCTGTCCGATCCTTAAGTCAGTATATATGGTTAGTTAGTATATATGTTGTATAGTATATATGGTTATTATTAAAAATTTCCAAAATGAAGTAAAATTACCAAAATAAAGTTCAATATAATAAATTTACTACCACCCAGACAGATAACAGTACATAAAAATCACGTTAGAGTTGAAGTTTTAATCAATTATGCTTTGTTAGTTATGCAGACAAAAGTTCCTTAGCAACTATTAATAATAATAGGTTATCTGATTAATGTGCGTGCATAATTTATCACATTTACTAAAAAACTTATTATTATTAATTATAACTGTTATTATTAATTATTACCGGCTATTATTAATAATAGGTTGTATGTAACGGTTATTATTAATAATATAATATGTTACGGTAATTACTTTAACCGTGACATATTTACTAAGAAGATCGCTAAAAAGTTCATATTCAATTGTTTCCTTGTTGAAATAGACTAAAGAAAATTGATTATTGATTATCAAATTATGATTCGATCAAGTCACCTGATAATATATATTTATGAAAATAAGCTCATTTGATTCTAATTTTATCACAAAATTACATGAATGATCAAAATAAACGCTTGAATTAAATTTTTAAGAAACGTTCTAAGGCTAAAAATCATCATAAAATTATTACGAAAAGTAGAGTGGATAAACCATTTTGTATTCTTTTTTTTTTTTTTAAAAATAAAATGTTTGATTTAAACTATAATAGTTATGATTGTTAAAAGCCATAGGAGATGCATTTTCTAGTAAAGCTTTTAAAACTGTCATAGAACTATATATTGTTTTGAAACAAATTAATTTAACGGAATTCTTGAATAAGAATTTCGTTTTCTCCAGATTAACTAAGAATACTTGGCGTTAGCCAAGAAAACTTTATACCATTATTGGCTTCGCTTCTCTTATTGCATCGAAGAGCTTGTTTCTCTCAGCGAAATCATCTTATATTTGTGCTTCAGTTTTATGACCAGATTCAATAAAAACTTGATTAGTGTACAGGAAAAAGATATTTCATAGAATTTCCATGTATTCGTGTAGTAAAGAAGAACATAAATATAAATTAAAAAGAATGAAGTTATAAAAATGCGAGTTTTTTAACAAATGTTATAAATAGATTTACTTAAAGGTATATTTATATGATTTTTTTCAAAATTAGAAATGAATAATATTACTATATAGCAAGTTTAACATAGCAACTAATAAAAAAAATATCATCTATGAAAGAATTAGAACAGTTAGAAATTTTAAGCGCAGTTTCAATATCGTGGAATTTTCATGTAATTTTGGGTAACCGTAAACCGACGACTTTTTTTTTTATTTTTTAGCGCGTGCTGATTAA